AGATCATGGTTAGGAGAAAAAAAATCAGTATTTTTTATGGTTTTGTTTATTATTGATAACCTGCGCATTACCATTTAACAAATAATAACAAGCAACAAAAACAAAACTTTAGTTTTTGGCCAAGAGTCAGACCACTTGAATGCCAATCCTGGCTGAGCGTAACTCACTTTGTGCCCTGAGTAAGGTGCCTACCATCTCTGGGCTTATTTCCGCAGCTGGCCAATATTTATTTATGACTAGTCCTATAGCATAGTGATTAAAAGTGTTGGTTTCTGGTGTAGATTTTTAGGGTTTAAAACTCTGCTCTTCTTCTCTTTATTGTGTGACTTACAGCAAGTTACTTAACATATCTGAGCCCTTCTGAACCTCTGTGTACCCACCTGTAAATGGAGTTAATAGTAGCATTGGCATCTTAAGGCTGTTGTGATCATTAAATGAGCTGATACACTTGAATTACTTAGAAGGGCTCAATAAATACTCGCTCTCTTTAGGATAAATATTATCATCCCCAGTTTAGACATGAGAAAACAGAAGCTCAGAGAAATGAAATGACTTGTCACACCTACATGCAGCAGAGACCAGACTCCAGTCTAGACCTTTCAACTTTGAATATACCTTTTGGCCTATCTAGTAATCATTCAGCAAACATGCTACCTTGACTCTTTCCACTACACCACATGCTCTGTGGGTACAGAGTCTATAATGGACATTTCAAAAGAGACTGTCCCTACTCTCCAGATAATGATGATCTCATTGAAGAAAACTAGATTTTTTTAAAATCCTCAAATACAAAACAAAGTCAATGATATTATTACTCAGTAGATAAATCCTAGTTCCAAAAAAAAAAAAAAAAAGCAGAAAGGTGAGAGATCAATGACTAGGAGCCAGAGCAGTGGAAAAGGACTTTTGAGAGACATGACATGCAGTTGGAATAGGCGGTACTGGAGGGGGGAGGGGGGACCCTTAAATGGCTGAGTATCATCACGGAAGCCATTTGACCTTTACAGCTGATGAGGAAAGCCCTCCCTGCAGAAATATGGTCTTTCACAGGGAACTCCTCCTATTCTCCATGTGCCAGAAACCTCAGCCAAGAAAGGAGAGTGAAGAGGCGACACAACCCTGTAGGAAATACAGGGGCATAAGTCCAAGAGGCAGTTCCACTGGCCTGTTTTGTTATGGTCTGAATCGCCTGAAGCTCTAAATAAGCCTGAAAGTCAGAGAGAAATGAGTCGCTCTGTTGTGTATGTAATGCTCTTGCAAATGGGATTTTTACAGTTATTTTTAGCATGGTGCCTAATCGCAATTTATCCTGGCCTGAGAAAAGGGTTGAGGAATTAATCCTTCAGTTATGACAAAAGCCAGAAGTGAAGTAAAAAATTAAAATGCCGCCCTGGCCGGTTTTGCTCAGTGGATAGAGCGTCGGCCTGCAGACTGAAGAGTTCCAGGTTCGATTCCAGTCAAGGGCATGTACCTTGGTTGCTGGCACATCCCCAGGAGGGGGTGTGCAGAAGGCAGCTGATCGATGTTTCTCTCTTATCGATGTTTCAAACTCTCTATCCCTCTCCTTTCCTCTCTAAAAAAAATCAATAAAATACAAAAAAAAATTCTAAAAATTAAAATGCCATACACTCTTTGACCTCCTACCAAGAAAGAACATTAGGAGATCTACTACATGTTCCTTCAGAGTAAAGGCCAAAACCCAGAGGATATCAGGCTCAACCAGTCACTTTCTTTGCTTCAAAGATATTTTAAAAGAGGCAGCCCAAAGTGCCACCTGAGATGTTTTGCATGATATGCATGTTATATTTGCATGTGGAGTAGTTAGACTTTGTTTGTAAACGAGGCTGTAAATGAGTCTGTATGATCCTGAAAGGGTCATAAATTGCTTTTGTTCTCCTCTTTAAAAATTTTTATTGATTGATTTTAAAGATAAAGAGAGGAAGGAAGAGAGAGAAACATTAATTTGTTGTTCCACTTATTTACACATTCATTGGTTCATTCTTGTATATGCTCTGACCAGGGATTGAACCCTTAACCTTGGGGTATCAGGGAAAACGCTCTAACCAACTGAGCTACCCGGCCAGGGCCAGTTTTGTTTTCCTTTAGGTGCAGAGCCCCATCCTTGTTTCTTTAAAATAGTCAGTCCAGCAAGTTGCTTTAAAATTAGCCTGGGAAGTCCAAAAAGTGTCAGGACAGGTTACTAACTGGGGCAGCCAATTCCTGGTACCCAGTTCAGACAACAACAAACTGCTTCTCCATCAAGCCCCTCACCTGTGCCAGGGGATGATCTATATGATTCCAACCGGTGCCAGGGTGAGGCGTTCACTCCTAGGCGTTTACTAGGAGAGGCAGCCAGCTTGCGGTGCAGGTCAGTCCCTGGCCTTGGATTTCAAAGATCCTTCCAAGCCGGTCAGGGCTGACCCAGTACTCTTTGAATAAACTTGTTTTTTATCAGAGAGGAAAATCCTAGAATGAAACATTCAAGACAAAACTGATTTTTTAAAAGAGAGAATATGTATTCAGGTATCGCTCCTTTCGCATGCAAAAGGGGCAATGTAAACTCTCCTGGGCATATAACCTAGGATCCTGAAATGAAGATTCTGCATCACCAATAATCGCATTTAAAAATTAATTTATCTTTTTTCTTCTTTTTCTTTTGAGATTTGGTGATTGTTCTTATGTATTTGCTCCTCTTAGAAAAGTCTCATTTTTTTATTGGAATCGGACTTAGAGGTAGAAGCTCTCAGAGAGGACTCGGAGCAAATCTTTTCTTTGGCCTCCTTCATTCTCTTCAGCCTTTCTGCGGTCTCTTCCTTCTTTTTCTTAGGATGTTGTTTCTGCAGAGCAACACGCTGACATTTGTGTTGCAGGACACTGGGAGTCACAAGACACTGAATCTTGGGTGCTTTGATCTGAGGTTTCTTTCCTCCTCCTCCTCCTTCTTCTTCTTCTTCAATATGTTTTTTAATTGATTTTTTTAGAAAGAGAAGAAAGGGAGAGGGAAAGAGAGAAACATCCATGAAAGAGAACCATCGATTGGCTGCCTCCTGCACGCCCTCCACTGAGGATCGAGCCCACAACCCAGGAATGTGCTCTGACCAGAATGGAACCCTCCACCTCTCAGTGCATGGGTCGATGTTCCACCAACTGAGCCACACTGGCCCGGGCCTTACCCTCTTTGTTTAGGGGCTGTCTCTCAACATATAGGCGGACATCATCTTCTTTAGAGATTGAAAAGTTTCCGGATTCTTATGGTATCGCTCATGAGATACCATAAGATCAGGAACATCTTTCTCCCCTTTTTAAAACAATGACCAAGTTGAGAACACTTGAGTTTGGCATCTGCAACGTAGCCCTGAACAGATCTGCACTTTCTCTCTCCAGTCCTCCTGGGTCTGTAACAGGAACACCCCTTAGCAGCAGACAGACACAGCCGTGGGTCAAGACACCCTGCTTCCTGGGGAAACCTGGTTTGTCATTCCCACCACTGCTTTGAATCACATAACCCTTTCATTTTTCACCCAGAGCATCAGCAGCAACTTCTTTCTTTTTATTTTAATTTTTAAATATTTTTTACTGATTTCAGAGAGGAAGAGAGAGGGAGAGAGAGGGAGAGAGAGAGACAGAAACATCAATAATGAGAGAGAATCATGGATCGGCTGCCTCCTGCACACCCCACACTGGGGATTGAGCCCACCACCCAGGCATGTGCCCTGACCCAGAATTGAACTGTGACCTCCTGGTTCATAGGTCAACACTCAACCATCAAGCCACTCCAGCCGGGCAGCAGCAACCTCTGTGGCCATACGCTTCTCATAAAAGGTACGAAGTTTGCATTCACCGTCCACTTCCATGAGTTTCTGGCCACCAGTGGCTGGAAAGAGAGAGATGTTCAGCTTCTTCCTGAAGCAGCCAACCTTGGCATTTTTCTAAGAACCTAAAACTGCTCTAGCCGAAACCGGTTTGGCTCGGTGGATAGAGCGTCGGCCTGCGGACTGAAAGGTCCCAGATTCGATTCCGGTCAAGGGCATGTACCTGGGTTGTGGGCACATCCCCAGTGGGAGATGTGCAGGAGGCAACTGATCGATGTTTCTCTCTCATCGATGTTTCTAACTCTCTATCTCTCTCCCTTCCTCTCTGTAAAAAATCAATAAAATATTTAAAAAAAAAAAAACTGCTCTAAAAAACAGTCTCTTGCAGAAACCTGTTTGGCTCAGTGGATGGAGCATCGGCCTGCGGACTGAAGGGTCCCAGGTTTGATTCCGGTCAAGGGCATGTACCTGGGTTGTGGGCACATCCCCAGTAGGGAGTGTGCAGGAGGCAGCTGAATTGATGTTTCTCTCTCATTGATGTTTCTAACTCTCTGTCTCTCTCCCCTCCTCTCTGTGGAAAATCAATAAAATATATTATAAATAAATAAATAACAGTCTCTTGAAAAGAAAAACAAATGAACAAAAAATACCAGTTACACAAGAAACAAACAAAAATATAATTAATTTTGCCATCTTGTTTTCTCAGCTTCTCCTTTACCCAGTCTCATAGAATCATTAATATATAGTCCAATAGAACTTAGCAGGGAATAAAAACTAGAAAGAAAATTAATGTTTATTGAGAACCAACTGAGTGCTTAAAAGCTTTACATACGTTATTTCTTTTAATCTTCATTATTTCCCCCATTTCATAGATGAGGAAAAGAAAGCTTACAGCTAGTAAGTGTCAGATTCAAAATTTTAACCGAGGCATACAGGATTTCACTGATTTCCAGAAAACCCTTTTCTAATTCACTCTTAGTGTTTGCACATTCCTTAGGATACTCATTTAAAAAAAAAAAAAAAAAAGACACGCATTCCTCTAGTTCTTTAGCTCTCTCATGCACATCTGACAAGAGAAGGTATCATTTACCAAAAGTCTTGTTTATAGCTAGTAAGTACAGGGATGAGATTTAAATACACACCCTTCTGCCTCCCTGGGAAAAACAATAATTACGTGAGAAATAAGAATCTCAGAGAAAATGAAAGTTTATTGGCTATAATTAATAAAATTCTGTAGGTCAGGAATCTTCATCTAAGAATTACAGAATTTTAAGGAACGGAATTACAAAATCTTAGAATTCCATAGAATTTTGGAATTTTAAGAAACAGGAATAATTATATGATTATATGTATATGCACACAGAGACATATACACACATTATTACAGACAGAGAACCATAGAATTTAAGGAACAGAAGAAATTGTAAATGAGAAAACTTCAGACCCACACATCGGTGGCCCTATTAAAATTTGTGCCCAACGGTTCTAATTCCCAGGCAAGCACTCAATCCAGGATTAAGGAATTATGTGGTTTTCTTCAGCATTTCAAGTCTCCGGTCAAGATCCTCAAAGTCAATTTCCTCAGAGTCATAAGGGTCAATGGAAAGACTTGCTTGAGGTTTTACATCAGGCAAATCAGGCAGCATAAAGTTATCAAAACCAATCTCGGTTCTTGATGCTGGCTTTGGGGAAGTTTGAGGGTTGAATCCCGGACCTGTTCATTTCAAAAAATGTAATTAAAAGTCACAACAATATGTCCCCCAGAATGAAATCCCAGCCTCAAAGACAGTAGGCTATTAATGTTTTTGAAAAAACAGCATATAATAGGCTGGAAAACTAGACAATTCTCCCAACATGGAAATGGTGGTAATGGTTATACTGTGTTGGCAATCTTCTTCAAAAGCAATTGGATTTTTTTTTTTAAAGGCACAATTTTTCAAAACATGTGACAAGATGATCTAGTACAGTAGCGGTTTTAAAACTTTATCTGTATTAAAGATCTGTTTGAGATCCATATCCACTTTGAAAATTGTTAACTATTATCAGGGAACATTCTGTACTCCGGGTAAATCACTAATAAACTTCTCTCACCAATGGAGGAATGACAGTCTTATAACAACTGAAATAGCTTCCATGACTATCAAGCAATTCCAACTACTACCAGGATTCCTTATACTTACCAGGAACCAGTATAGGATGCAAATCATTCTTAAAGGAGTCATTCTGAAAGAAAAGAAAGATCACTGGGAAGCAACTGGTTTGAGTTCCAAACACATATTTTGTTCATAGTAAGCCTTCAATAACTATTCCTTAAAATTAACTTGAGTGAACTTTATCACAATCACGCTGCCTTCTTGTGTGAGGCAAAGTGTACGGATGCCTTCTGGAAATCAGCCTTAGGAGTGACTATGGTTTTTGCTCCTTCTGTCACCTGTGGCCTCATACAAGAACGGGGAAGTCTTTTATCTTCCAGTCTAGAAATGCTGCTTGTGAAGAATGATTCAGTTTAATAAAATCAGAGGATTCTTTCTCCAACAAATAAATAGCACCAAAAAAAAAAGTAGAGGTGGGGAAAAGGAAGTATTAGAGATTAAAGAATTAAAGAGACATATCAACTGAACATAATGTGTGGATGTTTTTAGGTCTTGATTTCAACAAAATAACTGTAAAAATGCATTTTTGAGGCAATCGGAGAAATTTAAGATGGGTTGAGTATTATATGATATTAAGGAATTGTTTTTCAATGTGTTAGCTTTCATAATGACATTGTTTTATATTATAAAAACAAAGGGTTCATGTTAGAAATATATATTGAAGTATTTACAGGTAAAATTATGTAATGCCTAGTATTTGCTTTAAATTCCTTCTCTCTTAGGAAGAAATAGGTAGATGAAATGAGAGCAGCGGAATGTTGATAACTGTGGAAAATGAGTGATGAGTACGCAAAAGTTCAGTATATTGTTCTCTCTAATTATGAATATGTTTAAATTTTCCATAAAGTTTTCTTCTTCCTTTTTTTTTTTTTTTTTTTTTTTTGCTTAAAGTATTACAAAGGGTATTACATATGTCTCCTTTTTTCCCCCCGCTCTTGACAATCCCCTGGCCAGAAATGTTATTCTTAAAAATACAGCTAAAGAGGACAGAGCTGCCCTAGCCGGTTTGGCTCACTGGATAGAGCGTTGGCCTGGGGACAAAGAGTCCCAGGTTTGATTCCGGGCAAGGGCATGGACCTTGGTTGCAGACACATCCCCAGTAGGAGGTGTGCGGGAAGTAGCTGGTCCATGCTTCTCTCTCATCGATGTGTCTAGCTCTCTATCCCTCTCCCTTCCTCTCTGTAAAAAAGCAATAAAATATATTTTTTAAAAAAGAGAACAGAGCTGCGTTTAATTTGTAATAAGATTTCAATACATGCACTTATTATTTTAGGCTAATTTTCCCAACCCCCCAACTTTTGTGATACTGTCTTATTACCACACAGCGCCAAAAGTCAAATAAACACATTAGTACAATATTTAGAATCATTATTAGCAGTATCTGGCAGTTACACTGTCCTGGGATAGAATGAACCACCTCAGTACCTTCTGAGGCTGATACATTTCTACCACCACAATTACTTTAGCAAACCTGGTTGCCTTCATTTCTGCAACATCATGCAGAGTTAGTGATTCTCCTTTTTATTCTTAAATCAGAGGACTTGTGCCCTGGGTGGTGTTGCCAAGTGGTTAGGCCCACAAACCGAAGGGTTGCAGGTTCGATCCCCAGTTGAGGCTTGTGTGAGAGGCAACCAATCCATGTGTCTCTCTCACGTGGATGTTTCTCTCTCTTTCTCTCTCTCTCTCCCCTCCCCCCTCCCTCCCTCCCTCCCTCCCTCCCACTCTTTCTAAAACTAAAAGGAAAAAATATTCTTGGGTGAGATTTAACACACACACACACACACACACACAACCAGAGGACTTGCACTCCAAAAGTAGAAGCTGAACAATACACAAGGTGTTAATTCAGACAAATAATTTCAACAAGGAGTTTATGCCTAAAATATAAAATCTCAAAAACAGCTCCATGGGGCCAGATATGAATAATTAAACACTTTCTTTTTACTTCACCCTGAAGGAACAAAGAGGGACGAAAATTAATGCCTGTGGCTCTTTACTTTTTAGGTATTTGACTTCTCTAAATTTGTATAAACACCCAGTTATGAGATTTTTATCCTATTTTCATGAGAGTAAACTGTTTTCACTACATATAAATTGAATACATCTGAAATTCGAGTCTAAATCACTGTACATGAAAGACTCACATTTGTCGAGCTCGTACAAATGTTCTTTGCAGTCTATACTGTGCTATTGTCCAGAGGTTGATGAAAGGCTGTATGTGGCCCTATTTTCTCATGAATTTCAGCACAAAAGCACATTAAATATAAGCTAAATAATTGCCTTAAAAAAAACTCACAAAGATCATTTTACCACTCAAAAGGCCCATTTAGAAATATACGCTAGCAGTACTGACAGTCTCATTTCAGATTCAACTTCCTTAGCCGTACTGACCTGTCTTCCAGGAGGAAGGGACGAGAAACAAGGGACCGGGGACCGCACAGGTAAAGGCTCTGGCGCAGATATCGGTGATGCCCAAACTGGATCACCAGGTCCTGCTACAGTTCCCCCTCCGCCGTCAAGGGTGCCTTTCTTGTCCTCCTCGGTAAATCCAACACTAACCAGGTCTGCCGGGGCTTCCGCCTGAAGCAAGGGGGCGAGAATGATATCGGATCCTCGATTTATTACACATTCGTTTATTGCATCCCTACTACAGGCTAAACTCCTTGGAAAAGACTGGGGAAGAAACAGTGAGCAAAGAGACATGGCTCCTGCCCTCAGGAAACAGAATCTAGTGTAAGGCAGGGACAGTGAACAGCAACCTTGGGCTTTCTGGCAGACACGCTTCTCCTTTCCCTCTGTTTCAATGACTGTGTTCGGAGTACCTATGAGGTCAGACACTGTGGTCCACCAGTGATGCAGAGCTAAGCATAAACATGCATCCTGATGTCTACGAGAAAGTGCAGCAAATCTTATCAGGGGTAAACTCTTATCAACCAGGCACAGTTCTGGGGATGCCACGATGAACGCAGCAGACGAACGTCCCTGCCCTCCTGGAGCTGATGATATTCCAGTGGGAGAGACAGATAATAAACAAGATCACTAAGTGTGTTAGATAAAGACAGGAGTGATAGAGAAAAAATATAAAGCAGGGGAGAGGGAAGAGGTGGACATTTTAGAGAAGGTAGCTAATAAGGGCCTCACACTGAGAGTGGGTGTGGGCAGCCTCTTCAGTCCTAGGAAAGCCATTGTTTATTATTCTAAGTGAAAGAAAAAGCCACTGGGTGGGGAAGGGGGGGGGGAGGATTTAAAAAGCAGAGGCGTGACATCATCTGACTTGGGTACTAACCAGATCTCTGAAGGCTGTATTGAACATCCATTAATGAGGAAGAGGAGTAGAGAAACAGGAAAATCAGTTAAGAGCCTCTTGCAATCATCCAGGCAGGGAATAGGTTAGTGCAGGTTAGCCCAGGATACTGTCAGTGGAGATGGTGAGAAGGGGCAGGATGCTGCCTATATTTAGAAGGTAGAATAACCAGGACTTGCCGAAGATTGGTTGGGGGCTAGCAGTGGAGAGAAAGAGGGGAGTCAAGAGATATCGAGATTTTTTTGCCCTAGCCTAGAATCCCCATGCACTGTAGAATGAATGGGTTCTTGGAAGGGGTAAGTCTTACCCGGTAAGAACACATGTTAAGTTTGAGATGCCTCTGAAATATTCAAGTAAAGGTATTTATATCAAGAAAGTGGGTGGATATATGGGGATGGAGTTCATACCAGCCTAGAGGCCTTAGCTAGTGATATACCAGTATGACTAGAAGTCCTCACCGTTAAGATGGTATTGAAAACCAGGATGTTAGATAAAATCACCCAGAGAGTAGGGGAGAGAGAGAAGAGGTCCAAGGCTGAGCCCTCGGGCACATCTCTACTACCATTTCATGTAGCGTTTACTTCTTCACAGTCCCTTTTGGTATTATCTATATTTTTAAAATGTGTCATTTTTAAAAAAAAAAAAAACAACAACAACCACATAACTCTTTGAAAGAGAAAAAAAAATGGGTAAAAGAGTCCCTGTCAGGAAACCCTCAGGAGCAAAGCATCAGAAAAGACAAGCGTGCCCTTTAACCACACCCCAACATGATGCATGCTGCTCATCCGTTGGAAGGCAGCACGGTGGGAACACAGAGGCCGGAACAGACTTCCCTTGTGGCTTCATGCCTGCACTAAGCACACGTTTAGTACTTGAGGACAAGGTTATCCTTTACAACAGGGGTCCTCAAACTTTTTAAACAGGGGCCAGTTCACTGTCCCTCAGACCGTTGGAGGGCCGGACTATAATTTTAAAAAAAAACTATGAACAAATTCCTATGCACACTGCACATATCTTATTTTGAAGTAAAGAAACAAAACGGGAACAAATACAATATTTGTATTTGCATGTGGCCCACGGGCTGTAGTTTGAGGACCCCTGCTTTATAAAGTTACCACAGACAATTTTATCAATGGCTAAAATAAGTCACTTCCCATATGAGGTGATTTGAGAGGCATTAGGGAGAAATCCCTCTGGCCTTAAAACAGTCCATGACCACCTTGTGGAAGCTTAAGCCACTTTCTGTGATAAGAATGATGATGATAAAAAGCAAAATTTGATTACATCTGTGATGGTCGAGGCATTGCATTTAAATCCCTTGTATGTATTAGCGCATTTGATCATCTCGACAAGCTTATGAGATTTGTTAATAACTATTAACTATTATTACCTCTCTTCTATTGTTAACAACTTAGAAGGGTCATCTGACGGTTACCAGAAGTCAAACTCTGTTAGGAAAAGTATGTGGGCGGAGAAAAGGTAAAAATTTCACCTGATTTACAATCCTGACAGCTACCCCGAGAGCCACATTCATAAGTAGAAAAAAAAAATCTTCCAGTGCACAATAAAAACCTCAGCTTTAAATCAATCCTCCCTTCTTGAAAGTACTCACCATGATGGTTGCCTTGGATTTATATGGCACATTATAGTTCTTAGCAATTTCTATCAGATACTGTTCCACTAAAACCTGGGGTAGGCTGTTCACATTTAATTTACACATTAGCTGCAAAATAAAGAACATAACAAGAGTTGATCACACACACACACACACACACACGCACACGCACACGCACACGCACCTACAAAATAAGAAACAAAAAAAGTTTAGGTGATTTTTCACCTCTGCATCATTGCTCTTCATCTTTCTGGTCACTGTTATTTAAGATGTATGATTTTAAAAAGAAATATAACTTAGCACCCTGGCCGAAGTGGCTCAATTGGCTAGAGCATCTTCCCATGCAAAGAAGAGTCTAGGGTTTGATTCCCGGTCAGGGCATGTACCCAGGTTGTGGGTTCAATCCCCTGTCGGAGCGCATATGGGAAGCAACTGGTAGATGTTTCTCTCTCACATCAATGTCAGTGTTTCTGTCTCACATCTCTCTCCCTCTCCCTTCCTCCTTCTCTATAATCATTGAAAACCATATCCTCGGGTGAGGATTTTTTTAAAAAAAGATATATAATTTAGCAACAACAAGGAGGGGCCCTCCTTATAAGACAGCCCTTTCCTGGGGTGAAGGAACCTCAAACCAAGTAGAATAAGAGAAAAAAAATAGACATAAAAATATTGTGAATCAAGAATTCTGATTTTATGACAAGTATTTGAATTATGTCAGAGGTAATATTCACCATACACAACAACCAGTACAGCAAGATACTAAGGAATCAGAATGGATATCCTGAGTGATGAGAATGTCCAACAGCCTGAAACAACTACTTCAGCCAGGTGCCTGTGTCCAGCTGAATGTCAGTCCTGAATTATGTAAGATGTTCAAAATTTGAAACTTCGAAGTTTCAATAACTTCTTTTGTATTATTAGGCCAGTTGCATTTAGGAAAATGAATGTTTTCTTAATAAAGATTCAGCCCAGGTGGTATAGCTCAGTGGTTGAGCATCGACCTATGAACTAGGAAGTCATGGGTTCAATTCCTGGTCAGGGCACATGCCCAGATTTCAGGGCTCCATCCCCCCTAGGGAGCATGCAGGAGGCAGCCGATCAATGATACTCTCATCATTGATGTTTCTATCTCTCTCCTCCCGTCTCTGAAGTCAATAAAAATATATTTTAAAAAATAAAGAATCATCTCAGTTTTATTGACTCTAGTTTTTGTTTTGTTTTTCATCCTCACCTGAGGAGGGAGGATATTTTTTCCATTAATTTTTAGAGAGAGTGGAAGGAAAGGGGAAGGAGGGAAGAGAGCGAGAAACATTGAAGTGAGAGAGACACATCGATTATTTGCCTGCCTCACGCTCCCTGGGGATTGAATATGCAACTGAGGTACGTGCCCTTAACTGGGAATTGAACCCGAGATACTTCGGTATGCAGGTCGACACTCCAACCACTGAGTCAAACTGGCCAGGGCTACTCTAATTTTTCTTAATTGAGGTAACATTGGTTACTAACATTATATAAGTTTCAGGTGTAGAACATTATAAATCAACTAGAAGCCCGGTGCACGAAATTTGTGCGGGGGGGGGGGGTGAGGAGGGGGTCCCTCAGCCCGGCCTGCACCCTTTCCAATCTGGAACCCCTCGGGGTATGTCCAACTGCCAGTTTAGGCCCCAGAGATCAGGCCTAAACGGGCAGATGGACATCCCTCTCCCAATCTGGGACTGCTGGCTCCTAACCCCTCTGCCTGCCTGCCTGATCGCTCCTAACCCCTCTGCCTGCCTGCCTGCCAGCCTGATCTCCCCTAACTGCCTCTGCCTGCCAGCCTGATCGCCCCTACCTTGCCCCCCTGCTGGCCTGATTGCCCTCTAACCACTTCTGCCTCGGCCCCCAGCCTAAGCCGCAGTCTGGCCTCCCTCTGCTGGAGGCGACCTGGCTAATCAGGGGAAGGCGCCACCCCCATTACCTCACTGCTGCTGCCACTGGTGGCCACCATGGCTGCCTGAGCCTCAGGCCAGCCCTAGGCAGCGGCAGCCACCATTCGCAGCTTGCCTGAGCCTCAGGCAGCCGCTGAGGCTTTGTCTGGAAGGACGCCCACCCTAATTAGCAATCACCCTTTTATTAGTATGGATATCTGTATACATTATAGGGTGCTGACCACCAAAAATCTAGTTCCTATCTATTACCATATATTTGACCGCATTTAAAAGATCTGAGTCCCGTCCCCCCAAAAAAAATCCGAGTTCCCTAATCCAAGATCTTTATCCAAGTTCCTCTGCCTCCAATGCAAAAAATACTTCTACACATCTTTCACTCTACACAAAATTATGTGTTCTGAGTTTGCTCAGCTTTTCCCAGATTTCTTGGTCTAGAAAAATGTGCCTCTGGAAGTGGTACTACCCGAGAGCTGACAGTTCCAATCTCAGTGGTTCGACACAGCTGACCATACTCCTGGCTGTACTTTGCACACAGCTGATCAGATACCTGCAGCAAACCATCACCAAGAAAGAAAGAAAGGCAAAATGCGTCAAGTTATGGCAGATTTGCTTCAGATAAAGAACAACCAAAAGAGCAAAAACAACTTTCATGTTACCTCCCTGGAATGATGTTCTTTTAGCATCAAACAGCAATAGCAAAATAAGCACTTTGCGTCCTAACCGGTTTGGATAGAGCATCAGCCTGCGGACCAAAGGGTCCCAAGTTCGATTTCGGTTAAGGGTGCAGGAGGCAACCAATCGATGTATTTCTGTCACATAATATTTCTCTCTGTCTTTCCCTCTCTCTGAAAATCAATGAAAAAAATACCCTCAGGTGAGGATTTAAAAAAATAACAAAGGCAAATAAGCACTTTGTTTTGTTTTTAAGTATCTGATAAACCTCTAATTCTAAACACCGTATAAATTATGACACCCTTTCCCCCATAAAAGAAACTTAATCTCAAGTTTTATTTTTTTAGGCAAGGTTTTCCCCCCTACATTGTCATTAAAAACAGTATTTATTTTTCACTTGAAGACTAACAGAAGAAAATACTTTTGGATGGGGTTATTCTTTAAGAGAAGATAGGATTCCCCAAGTCTAAATGAGTAACATTAGTGATACTCTCACTTACAATCACGGCACATGTAGTTAAAACTCATCAAACTTACTATTTTCAGCTCAGGCACCTCTGACTGGAGTCGAGGAGCTGCCCAGATTAGTGTAGACACAGATTCAGCCAGACCAGAATCCAGTTCCCTAAGCAAAGCACAAAATCATGAAACTCGGGGCTTTCTGCATCCCTCTTTCACTGCTCCAAAGGTAGTCCATGGACAAAGTTCAAAATATAATGTTATAATAAAATTTTTAAACTGAAATTAGAATATGGACTTCTATGTACATATATGTATGTAAAAGTATATAACACACATACTTGTGTTTATACACACATACATACATATAAGTATACATATATAAACTGAAAGGAAATATACCAAAATCAAATCCTCATTCCAGATTTGGTGATCATGGATTCTTTTTGGCTGTATTTTCCAACTTTTCTACTACAAGTTTATATTATATTTTTACAGCCTCGGGGGGTGGGGGGGAAGGACATCTATTCGGTTTATTTTTAAATGGCTCTTTGGACTGACATGTGCTTTTCAAGCAAAGACAAAGTCCCAAAAAGTTAGAGCCATAGGGGACAGGGAGGCCTTATCACTCCTTTGAGCCTGAGAAACAATGCCAGTTCAGTAGGTCTCACTTTGTGGCCTGGATCAAGCCAAACCGGGCCAGCAGCAGGTTACAATACAGCTCCAGGATCTCCATGGCCTCCACGAGGTAGTCTTCCCGTATAATGTGCTCCACTCGGATCCGAGCTCGCTCATCTTTCCCAGCAGCCAGATGGTCAGCGACCTCCTTCCTTGCTTTCTGGGCCTGCTCGGCTGCAGCATAAAGCACACACTTAGAAAAATGAATGTGGAGAGAGAGAGAGAGAGAGAGAGAGAGAAATGGATTTGAGAGAGAAACATCAATCGGTTGCCTCCCGTGTGCACCCTGACTGGGTGGGGATCAAACCCACAATCTGGCCCTAACCGGTTTGGCTCAGTGGATAGAGTGTCGGCCTGCGGACTGAAGGGTCCCGGGTTCGATTCCAGTCAAGGGCATGTACCTTGGTTGTGGGCACATCCCCAGTAGGGGGTGTGCAGGAGGCAGCTAATCAATGTTTCTCTCTCATCGATGTTTCTAACTCTCTATCCCTCTCCCTTCCTCTCTGTAAAAAAACAAAACAAAAAAAAACAACAAAAAAAAACAAAACAAAAAAAAAAAAAAAAAAAAAGAAAAATGAATGTGTTTCAGATAAATGCTAAGCTGCTGTTACACCCACCCTAATATCAACAAACATTTATTGTGTGTCCAGGTTATAGTTTGTGTTACAAATAGAACCCTGGAAGGTCAAAATTATTATCTCCTTTTAAAAAAAGCTCAGTGGTTGAGCTTTCATGGTTGGATTCCTGGTCAGGGCACATGCCCGGGTTGCGGGCTCGATCCCCGGTGGGAGGCGTGCCAGGAAACAGCCGATCAATGATTCTCTCTCATCATTGATGTTTCTATCTCTCTCTCCTTCTCCCTTCCTCTCTGGAAATCAATAAAAATATTTTTTAAAAAGAAATCAACTTAGATAGACAAGGCTAATTTGCTTTATTTATCTCAAATCACTCAGGTACTTCTTGTTTAAATTTCTTCATTTGTAAGAAGAATATAAAACTTATCTGGATAATAATATGTATCACTGGATTATCAGGATCAAATAAAAGAATATGTGAGCATGCATTTTAAAATTCACAAGTTCTGTGGATGTCACCAATGTCATCTTCATTGTTCATGGTAACAAAAGGAGAACCACTGGATTTGGCTAAATTTCATTTATTTGGGATACTTTCCTTAGGCCCCTATTACCTAAATAATGCCCAAACACCTGCTGCCAAGATTTGGCTAAGTAATGCCTAAAAATCAATTTGAAAGTTTGAGTAGCTACTGCCTCTCTACCAATAAATTATACAGGGTGCTCTAAAAAATGTATATACACTTTGACAGCTGATAGCTCAATTTTGAAATGAAATGTATTTTAATAAACACCGTCCTTATACTTATTCAATACATTTTTTGGGACACCCTAGATTTGTGGGGGCACTCAGAAAACTGCATTTATATGCAATACTTATTTCACCGGAATCCGCCTCATAATCAGAGATCATCAGTTTTTCTATTTATCGAGGGGTTAACCACTCATGTGACCCACTGGAATGAGGAGAGAGCAAAAGGCAACAGAAAATAGTAGTAAGTTGGACTTAAAGTAGAAGACTTTTTTTTAAAAAAGATGATAACACGTATTGCATGAGTGTAATGCTACTTGAGCTATCACCTGATAGAAGAAAATGCATGGGTGGTGGTGTGTGGGGTGATATTTGAAAAAGGATAAGGAATCCTTTCCAGAAAAATGTGCCTTGGAGTTCAAATTTCATAGCTACTGCACATTTGAAAAAGTTTGACTAGATAAAGTTCTCTGCCTTGGTGGAGAGAAGTCCAGTAATCGGGATATTGTTTTACATTTTAAACCTTTGGAAACATATTTTAAAAATTAAACTTTTTTTCCAGAGGCATGGATGCATAGAACAGACTGACAGATCTCAGAGGGGAGGGGAGGGAAGAGATTAACCAAAGAACATACATGCATAGCCCATGGACACAGGCAATATTGTGGTGAAGACCTGGGGAGGGGGGAGGGACTGGGTAAAGGGGAAAAAGGGGGAGGGAGGGAGACATCTGTAATACTGTCAACAATAAATTTTAAAAATGTAAACTTTTCATTTTGAGATCATTGTAGAGTCACTTGAAGTTTGTAAGAAGTAATACGGAGAGACCCCGGGTACACGTGACTGAGTTTTCCCCAGTGATAACATCTTGCAAAACCAAGACAGCGATATTGATACAGTCAAGATACAGAGCTGACACTGGAAATTTTTAAATGATTTGATCACTGTAATAATCATTCCCACATTCACCCCAGTCAGAAACATTATTTTAATTCCAAAGTTGGTGTTTCCCTTTCTCCTAAGCTACAAGGGCCCTTCCTTTGCCTCTGTAACATGTTTCCTGAGTCCATTTCTTCTACACTTCTACAGCTCACTTCTACCTCTGTGACTTTCTAAATAAACTTTCTCTTACAGTTTGAAAACAAATAAATTCCAAAGTCGGATAGTAAGGTCTAGGAGGTATATCAGCCGGCACACTGGAGTTGAGGGGAGATTGCACAGTGATCGGAGAGGCAGCTGGCTGCTGGCCTGCCTGGAGTATTACTCACTTTTCTTTCTTTCCAGGAGTTTTAGGCGATTGACAACCAGTTGCAAGTTGACCCGAAGGCGATCAGCTTTGAAGACAGAGCCGAACATGATTTCACCACAAGGCACAGCAACTCTGAGCAAGTTTCCCAGAGAAAGAGAGAGTTTATCAGTGTCATGGGAGCTCCAGTTTCTCAACATCCACTTTATTCATTCAACAAGCCCCATGGAATGAATTCCTGACTGCTCGGTAATGGCCTGGCTACACTTGCTTCTCCGTGGACCCATTCCACACACATGACTCTTGCCATTCAAATAGGGGTTACGTTTCCTCCAATTTATTCCAGTCGTCAATGTTTTTGCTGAAACTTTTGAGAGTTCTGCAGGAAGTTTCTGACAAACATGAAAGTCTTTGGCAAGTGTCTAAGGAAGCAGACAACAAAGTGTGATTCCCCTCCCCATAGGACATATTACTCACTTATGGAGAAATTGTAACTTCTCCTTCTAAATAAAATATTAATGAATTTGAAAGGGAAATCCCCATAGGAAGAGATCACATAGCATTAAAAGCACATGGGAATGAGGACATAGAATTGTTCAGAGAAGTAGATAAAACACAAGCTTAAACATTGCACGTTTCCATATTTGGACATCTAATGCCAGGCACCAACATGTTCCTAGGGAAAGCTAAAATCCGCTCAGTATCTCAATAATTTCAATACATGCTTCAGGCTAGTTGTTGTTTTCTGCCACTGGCATGCAAAGTGGAAGCTCCTTCCCTAACATGACACCTGTACATGCTGAAGCATACAAGCAGGAAGATGCGACAGTATGGAAAATGCCACCTCCTTCCCTTGTTATGACAACACATGGTTTCCCAAGTTACAAGTACTTCTCTCTGGTTTGACCCCTTAACGTCAAAAAACAAAACACAAAACACCAAAAATAAAACCAAACTGGGATAATGGTCTGAGCTTTCCATGCCTGTGGTACAGGTCTAGAAAAACCACAAAGAGGAAACAGGCAACACGGAGAGCTGGTTTGAAACTCCTGCCTGCTCAGGGAGAAGAACCAGCCTGGCAGGGTTTTGTCGTTATTTTCGTACCAACAGGGTAGCTTAGCCTCTCCCATCACACAAATTCAATCTGCACACATCGCAGGAATTCAATGTGAATCTAGGGGAAGCGAAGAGGTGGAAAAAACATCGCAGTTTAATTCTCCAGTCCCCAGATATCCCAAATACCTTTAAAAATCTCCTTTCAGTTCATCAGTTCTTTAAACTCTGTGGGGGAAGAAAAAAAAAACTTGGTGAAATAAAACGAAAAAGACTCTCAGATGAGATTGAGAACGGATAGCAAACAGGTTAACTAGGTAAGAGTACAAATGAGGAAATGGGAGCAAAGGAACTAGCAAGGAAGTTCTCCCGGTGTGGGATATCTTTGCGAAATTTCATTCAACATGAGCCAGTTACAGTGTTTAAGACACCAGGTTTACTTAATAGAAATAACTTACATAAAGAATTATCCAGATATCAGAGAATAATACAGATTTTTAGAGAGATAAGGTAACTTTTGGTTATTTGGTTATTTCAGTTGTCTTAAGTCTAAAAACTATGTTAGTTTACTTATCACTACTATTCCTGTTAAACGGACACTATGGAGCTTCCTACCATCAATATGTACGACCAAAGAAATCAGGATTGCTTGGAGTAAAGAATTCTAAAACAGGATACAGCAGAGAGATGACCCACCCTTTTGCGACTGCAGCACCAAACCAGGAAATCACCTGTGTTTCACCAATCAGAACATCCTGTTTTTTTAACCAGACATGCCTTTGCACCACGTAATTGTAATTAATGGCTGGTAGTCAAAAACATTTTTTTTGCTTGCGTCTACCCGTGTCTGCTCTTTCAACTTGTCTGAAAAACAGACCTCGGAGTGTGTATCTTGATCTGGGAAAAATGAGTTACCCTTGAATACACCTGGATGGTTCAAGGAGGTCTGTTTTATAATCTTAATGCCAGTTTAGTGAGCTAAGCAATGAACCTAGAAACCAGAATGCCAGCTAGTGCTAAAACGGAATCACTGAGTGACCACAGGACTTCCTTCTTGGCCAAACTGAGGGAGATGACTATCATGAATAATATTAATATTCATGAAGCAAAGCCCTCTGATTTAGATGGCTACACATCAGTAGCTTCACTATGTTTTACCCATGGGTGCAAGGTGTGTGTGTGTGTGTGTATGTGTGTGTGTGTGTTTGTGTGTGCAGTTCAATAATTTTGATGATTCTTTGTCCCCATCAAGGTGAGAAAATATTGAAATTGAGATCTAAGGATTCCCTTGAAAGAATCTTAAAGGTCATACACTTATTTGTATTTATTTTTATTTTAACTTATTTTAATATTTGTAAGGTAATATTTTCATTAAAAATCCAAAGAATAACATAAGTTCCTTTTGTTCCTTTCGGCCACCATCCAATTCCACTTTCCTCTCCCAAAATAACCAGCTTAGCTAGTTGTTACACATCCTTCCACTCCTTTTCTATACAGATACCTATGCAACTATAATGTTAAGTCTTTTAACATTAAATACATAATATTGCACTGTACATGTTTGCCTATTTTTTTAACTTAAAATTTTTAGAGCTCTTCTATTTACATTTTACTCCCACCCCTTCATTTAATTTAAGCTTCTCATTTTGCAGAAGTGCAAACCCAAGTCAAGTAGTAAAATGACTTTCCTAAGGCCAGATAGCTACACAGTAGGGGCCAGGGCACAGTCAGTACTTTTTAAATCAGCCAAAAAGCAATGATTATTTATTGAACAAAGTTTGCAGAAACTGCAGGGTGAAAAATCAACTCAGAATCCAATGTCTCTCCAACAGGTAAACGTATTTTTTTCTCAGTTTAGTTTGTTGTTGTCTGTATGCAGAAGCACTTTTTTTCCCCATAGATATATTGTAATTGAAGCACAAATTCAAATGGTGTCCATTTTATTTTAGTTAAGTTAATCAGAAGTTCATGTTACTATGAAGTTGACTAGTAGTTAATTGGCAATTGAAGGATGACCTAACATTGCATCACATAGTCAAGCCCTCTTCCATTAAACTAAGCTGCTCCCCATTGTACTAAACCCCTTCCTCTCATTTCTCACAAATCTCCCACTGCTTGTTTCACTTTCCCCCTAGATCCCCTCAGAGAGGTTTCTGAATTCTTTTTTTCTTAATATAATTTTATTGATTTCAGAGAGGAAGGGAAAGGGAGAGAGAAATAGAAATATCAATGATGAGAGAGAATCATTGATGGTGCCACCTCCTGCACGCTCCCTACTGGGGATCGAGCCTGCAACCCTGACATGTGCCCTTGACCAGAAAGGAACCCAGGACCCTTCAGTCCGCAGGCCCAGGACCCTTCAGTCCGCAGGCCCAGGCTGAGGCTCTATCTATCCACTAGGGCCCTTTCTAAATATATTTTATTGATTTTTTTACAGAGAGGAAAGGAGAGGGATAGAGAGCCAGAAACATCGATGAGAGAGAAACATCGATCAGCTGCTTCTTGCACATCTCCTACTAGGGATGTGCCCACAACCCAGGTACATGCCCCTGACCGGAATCGAACCCGGGACCTTTCAGTCCACAGGCCGACGCTCTATCCACTGAGCCAAACCAGTTTCGGCCCTTTCTGAATTCTTAAAGAGCTCCCATCTCCACCCTGGGTCTCCAGGGGGATGTCTTTATTCTCCTGGGCCTGGTGGCCTCTGGGGTTTCAGAAATCAGGCCCAGGCGCTGGTTTGGCTCAGTGGGTCCTGGGTTCGATTCTGGCCAAGGGCACAAGCAGGGGTTGCAGGCTCCATCCCCAGTGGGGGGCGTGCAGGAGGCAGCCGATCAATGATTGTCTCTCATCATTGATGTTTCTCTCTCTCTCCTTCTCCCTTCCTCTCTCTCCTTCTCCCTTCCTCTCTGAAATCAATAAAAATATATTTAAAGAAAGGAGAAAGAAAAGAAAGAAAGGAAGGAAGGAAGGAAGGAAGGCAGGAAGGAAGGAAGGAAGGAAGGAAGGAAGGAAGGAAGGAAGGAAGGAAGGAAGAAGGAAAGGAAGGAAGAAAGGAAGGAAGGAAGGAAGGAAGGAAGGAAGGAAGGAAGGAAGGAAGAAAGAAAGGAAAGAAAGAAAGAAAGAAAGAAAGAAAGAAAGAAAGAAAGAAAGAAAGAGAGAAAGAAGACAGAAAGAAAGAAAGAAAGAAAGAAAGAAAGAAAGAAAGAAAGAAAGAAAGAAAGAAAGAAAGAAAGAAAGAAAATCAGGCCCAGAAAGCCCGGGATCGCCAATGGCCACACCCCAGGGTTCAGCTCAGGAACCCCTAGAATTTCCTGGAGTAGCAAGACTGCGGGGTCATTGTGGGGTCAAGCTGCGGGCCCGACCCAGCCCCATTCACGTGACCCCGCCCCCTGGGGAAGATTTCATTTTCCCATCGGAGCGGGTGTGGAGGTGACAGGCAGATGGCCAGCCCCCTCCCGTCTGGGGTAGTGGGGGATGTGGGAGGGGGGGCGGACTCCGGAGCGTCACTTTCGGGCCCAGCTGTGACGCCATCTCCGCGCGCCTGGGGCGGGACGCGCTTACGTCATCTCCGGGCGCCCGACGGGGGGGCGCTGGGTGTGGGGCGGCTCCGGGGCCGGGGATGGCGGCGGCCGCGGTGGCGGCGGCTCCGGCACGAGCGGGTGGAGCCCGGAGAGCGCCGTGAGATGGGCCGGTGAGTGTCGCCAGGAGCGAGGGCCCCGCGCCGGCCCCGCGGAGGCCAGCGGGCCTGGGCTCGGGGCTCCGGAGGAAGCGGCCCCCGGAGCCCGCCGCTCCGTCGAACCGCGGACCGCGGCGGCGAAAGAGGCCGCGCTCGGACCCCCGCGCACTCCCCGCGGACGCTGCCCGGGGGGGCGGCCTCGGGCCACGGCGACCCCGCGGCTGTGACCCCTCTGGCCGGGGTGTCTCGGGTCCTCGGGGCAGGAAGGGGCCCCCAACAAGGAAGCATCACCTGCGGGCCTCGCCCCTGCCCCTCTGCTTGAAGGGACGACGCCCCCCCCCCCAACGCCGAATTCCCCATCCCGGCCCCCACCCTTTTTGGAGCAAGGGTTGGGGGGTCCCAGGAAGCCATGCCCCCTAGGATTTTCCAAGCCCCTCTCCTCCAGGCGGGCGCACCCCTCGCCCTCCGCGAAGGCTGGTCCCTGGCAGGGTTCAGCCTCTTGGTTCCTGGGTTCTGCTGGCAGCGTTGGCACCCTCTCCGGAGCAGCCCCCCTTCCCCGTTAGCGGGGTGGCAGGCTGCGTCTTCCCCTTGGGAAACCTTCAGGGAGCCCCTCCAGAGGCCGAGGTTTCCGATTCCGAAATGGGTTTGGCGTGGCGGGCACCCGGTACCCAGGCTGGGCCCTTTGTTGTCATTCCCGCAGACCCTTTGCCTCTTGCAGCCCTTTCAGGAGCTTGTGCTTGGCTCACCCCGCAGTGACCTGGAGGCAGGTTATTTTCTTGAGTGTTTTAGTTGCAGGGAGCCAGGCTCATGCCTAGGGTTGAAGGTGTGACCCCAGTTTTTTGTTGGGCATGAAGGAGAAAGCTGACGGCTTTTCCTTTACTTCCAGCCCAGCAAAGGAGGGATGCACAACTTGTGCCCCTGGTGTGATTCGTGTTTGTGGGACTAAGAATTTGTCTTTCCACCTTGGTGTCTCCTCTCATCACCTTCATATATATATGTATATGTATATGTATATGTATATGTATATGTATATGTATATGTATATGTATATGTATATGTATATGTATATGTCCCACTGGGCCAATCTTAAGAGAGAAATGTTGCCTTCAGTTTGGTTCTGTAGGACTTGGGCAGGATAATGGGTAGTTTCTGAGCCCTGGTCAGTACTGCTTTCTGTGTTTCCAGGGATGCAGGCTCTGTGCTTCAGCACTTGATGTTTCAGGCATGTGTAGATTCAGATATTGACAGTTTGGCAGGAATTTGTGTTCCCACGGTTAGCTGCATGAGGAGCAAGGCAATGTTTTTCATTTTTGTCCTTCCTGATTCAGCACTTGTACAGAGTTGTCACTCAGGAAATTTTACATGCACACAGGAGACCTTTTTTTTTTTTTTTTTTTAATCCTGAAAATCTGTTAATAAGGCTTCCCCTTGAGTAACTCCCCCTTGACCTCTTTTTCTGCCCCAGAAACATAAATAATTGTTCTTTTCTCTCTAGTGCCGCTTTTCTCATTTAAATAACCTCCACAACCGTGTTTTCATCAGCTCGGAATAAAAGTGAAATCTGTGAAGTTGATTTTTCCCGCTTCCCGTTGTTCACTTGGGAACAGTGTTGAGTCTTCCACTTGTATTTGTGCATGTACCTGAGATTGGGATTGGAAGTAAATTTAACCTTTGGGGAAGGGGTGCAGGTAGAGAATGAAGGATCTAATGTTAAGGCAAACAATGAGATTTGACATGGGAAGTTTTTTCCAGGGATGTCTTCCTACAGATACATGTGCTGTTGCCTCTAGAGAAGATTCATGGAGTTTAATGTCTTTGTGGCTTTTGAATTACTTTTCTTGATGCTCCTGGCAGGGGTCAGAGGTGAGGCTCCTGCTTACTTTATCCCTATGTCTGTTTTCTAGGCTCCCTCACCAGCGGGGCGAACACTGCTTCTTACTACAGCTGCTCAGAAGCACCATTGGAAGCTCAGGTATTACAGGAGCTTTGGATACCTTTTTGCAAAAAAAAAAAAAAAAATCTGGGATTCAACAGTTGAAAACAGAACA